CCTCGCACAGCACCCAGCACAGTGGCTGCAAACACAGCAGAGTGCCCCAGCACCAAATGCAGTCCTACAGTCACTCATGCACGACCCTAGCCCTGAGCACCAACTGCAGCCCAAAGCCCCATCAACCACAGCCCTGAGCAATCACTAACTCTGGCCCCAAGCATCTCCACCTGCCCCAGGACCTTGAGTACAGAATCCCACGCGCAGCCCAGCCCCAAGCCCTGACCTCAGGCCCAGCACCCCGCACACAGCCGTCCCCAACTCTGGGAGGCTCATATCTCCCCCAGCCCCATGCCCACCTGTTTTGTTGTTGTCTCCTTTCTGCAGGTCCCGCGCCGCCTCCACAAAGACATCAAAAAGCCCTTCCAGGTCTGTGGGGCCAGCACGGTGCTCGGGGTGGAACTGCACACTGCAAGTTGTGAGACAAGTGAGACACAAACCCACATCCCCAGCCCCACGCCAGGGCGACCCTGCACCTACCTGAAGAAGGGTTTGTGCTCGTGCACCAGCCCCTCGTTGGAGCCATCGTTGGCATTGGTGAAGAGCGGTGCCCAGCCAGGAGGCAGACTGCCTGCCTCCACCGCAAAGCCGTGGTTCTGTGCCGTGATGAAGCAGCGCTGCGTGTCCTCGTGCACACACGGCTGGTTGTGCCCACGGTTTCCATACCTGGGGGGTGCGGGGAGACGGGCACAGAATGTCACTCACCCAGTTGAACACCAGGACCCCCCCCCAGAGGTGGAACCCCACTCACTTCATCTTGTAGGTGCGGGCGCCCAAGGCCAGGGCCAGCAGCTGGTGGCCCAGGCACACCCCAAAGATGGGCTTGGGGCGGTCAGCCGCCAGCACGGCACGCAGGTTGGCCACTGTCTGCTGACACTGCCGTGGGTCCCCGGGGCCATTGCTGAGGAAGAGCCCATCGAAGTCTGCACACAGACAGCAGTGTTAGGCTGGAGATCCCATAGGTCTCCCCATTTTATGGAGACACAGCGGCCCCACAGCTCCCAAATGGGATCACACAGTGGTCACTGACCCCATTGCTCACAGCACACCACGATGCCCCATATCAGGTTACAGCAAGCATCCCTATATCACACCTCCCTTATAAACCCCAGTGAGAGTTACGCCGCAATGCCCAACCCCCTAGAATAGGGCAGACCTCCAGCGTGAGGCTCCCCAAGGCCCCCTGCACTGATTCTACCCCACACCCACCCTCCAACCCCAGAGCCCCCTACCAGCAGGGTCCAGCGGATGGTCCCATGGCACCACGGTGACAGCAGCCCCCCGCTCACAGAGGCACCTCACTTGGTTGTGCTTCAGGCCACAGTCCACAGCGGTGATGCGCAGGGATCCAGTGGGGTTAAAGACACGCGGCTCCTACAGAGAAGGTGAGCCGGGAGTCTGGCCCATCACCACCCCACAGCCTGGGCCCAGCTGCCTCGTACCTTCAGGGACACCTCCTGCACCAGGTGCCGCTCATTTGGGTCCTGGAAGAGGATGCTCTCCTCTGGGGCTTCATCTGGCAGCAGCTTCCCCAGCAGTGTGCCCTTCTCACGGATCTTCTTGGTGAGGGCACGGGTGTCCACGCCTATGGGTGCAGGCTGATGTGGAGCCACACGGTCCCACGGCAACTTCACCAACCCCCCCCACGGGGCACAACTTCACAGATCCCAGTGCAAGTTGAGCTCTGCTCCAAACTCGCTACCTCCAGGTGTCCCCACCCCCAGCACTGACCCCATGGCCCTGACCCCCAGCCCCACCTTCCAGCCCAGGGACGTTGTGCTCCTTGAGCCATTGGTCGAGGGATTGGGCAGCGCTCCAGTGGCTGGGGGTCTCCGAGCATTCGCCCACTACCAGCGCAGCCACGTGGATCTTGGTGGACTCGAACCACTGCGGGGAAATAAGAGTGGCCAAAAGCCTAGGAATTCGCCCCGGAGCAACGGGGCAGGGCTGGGGGAGCCTCCAGGCGGGGACCCCCACAGCACAAGTGCGGCACCGCCGCGCCACACCGGGCGTCCCCCAACCTCCCCCATCCCCACACCGACCCCAGGCGCCGAAGGAAGCCCGGACAAACCCACGGCCCCGGCGGCCCCGCCCCCACCCGCGGCCCCACGGCTGGGCGCTCCCACCCGAGAGCCGCGTGGGGGGCGGGGAAGGAGGACTCTGCCCCGGGGGTCGGGGGGCCCGGTGCTCACCGTGCCGAGCCCGAAGGGTCCCGGCCGCTCCCGGGGCACGCCGTAGTTGCCCATCAGCGGGTAGGTGAGCACCAGGATCTGCGCCGCGTACGAGGGATCGGTGAGCGCCTCGGGATACCCCACGACTCCCGTCTGGAACACTGCGGGGAGAAAAACGCGGAGCGGGGGATCCGCGCGCGTCCCCGCGCATCCCGCACCCTTCCCGCATCCGGTCCCGCCGCACTCACCCACTTCCCCGCTGACGGACGTGCCCGTAGCCCCGAAGGCGCGGCCGCGCAGCACGGAGCCATCCTGCAGCACCAGGCGGCCCATGGCGGTGCCACGTGCGGGGAAGTGCGGGAGGCGGCAGCGGAGGAGCGCGGGGAGTGCGGGAGGGGCGGGGCGGGGTACCGAGAGAGGGAGATGCGCGGGGGGCGGGGCCAGAAACGATGGGGGCGGGGCATCGAGAGAGACGGACCAATCAGCGCGCGGCCGGGCGGGAAAAGAGTGCAGAAAAAACTGAGCAGCGCGGGACGGGAGCGAATGGAGCCGGGGGGCTAAACGGCGCTGTTGTGTAGATAAAGGTAAGAAACAACTTGATCTGCTCTTGTACCGCATGACCAGGGGAGAGCGCGAACGCAGTCCCCCACTACCACAAATTATGCAGTCGAGTTTCCCGCATTTGGGGAAATCGCAGGGGTCAGCACACCCGGAGTGCAGGGGATGAGCCTCACCCTGGGAAAACCACCCGCCTGATCATGGTGTCTCCCCTGCCAGGTAAGTATGCTTTGCTCCTCCAACGCCCCGCTCCCCACGCCCCGCCACCAGCCCGCACCGCACGGCGACCCGCCGTTCCACACCACTTTCCCCACTTTGCTCCTCGCCCAACTCCGCGCTCCTCTCCAAGCCCCGCGTCGCGTCCTACGCAAGTTCTACGGATCTCTACGTCCGTTCCGTTTCCTATTTATCGCTCCCGGCATACCGCGTGCGGATCGATCAGCATACTGATCTGCATATCGATCTGCATGACCCCGCCCCATCCCGCCGGACTGCCTAACAGCGCCGCTCCGAAGCATGGACCGACCAAGAGCCCGTGATGACACCCGAGCCACAGCGCCCCCAACAGCCGAGTGGGGTAACGCAACCAGAGGAGCGGGACGGAAGTGGAGGTGTACCGGAAGTGGGGCAACACCATACAGGTGGCGCGAGGCGACTGGCTTCCGGCTGCCAGGGGTGGGGCCGTGCGACGAGCGGGGGCGTGGCCGAGGAAAGCAGCGCGCCGTGAGAGCGTGTTGGGGGCGGGAAGTGGGTAGGCGGGGCCATGCAGATCGATATGCAGATCAGTATGCTGATCGGTCCGCGCACGGCATGCCGGGGCGCGCTAAATAGAAAATGGAACGCGCGTGGAGCCCACCGGGCATAGCGTGGTCCCTGACGCAGGGATGCAGGAGGGGCGCGGAGTTGGGCGAGGCTCAGGGGTGGGTGGTTGGTTGGGAACGGCGAGCGCCGTGCGGTGCGGGCTGGTGGCGGAGCGTGGGGAGCGGGGCGTTGGAGGAGCAAAGCATACTTACCTGGCAGGGGAGACACCATGATCAGGCAGGTGGTTTTCCCAGGGCGAGGCTCATCCCCTGCACTCCGGGTGTGCTGACCCCTGCGATTTCCCCAAATGCGGGAAACTCGACTGCATAATTTGTGGTAGTGGGGGACTGCGTTCGCGCTCTCCCCTGGTCATGCGGTACAACAGTAGATTGAGTAATTTTCTTCTCTTTGTTCTCAGCAGCGCTCTTCTTCGCTCCGAGCGCCCGCCGTTCCATCCCGTGCTGCTCGCAGTTTCCCCGTCGATTTCCTGTCTCTCCGCACCGCTTCATCTCCCACTCAACGCTCCGTTCCCGTTCGCCCCCACTCCGCGCACACCGCACGCCTCAGCTTCCCGCCCCGCCCCTCCCGCACTCGCCGCTCTCCCGCGCTGCGGCTGTCCACAGCCCCGCACCCGGCGCCTTTCCATCCCGATGACGGGTTCCGTTCCCCGCTGACACGGCCGGGCTGTTCCCCACTCGCCTTCCCGATCCCGCCGCCGCGCCGCCCCCGCAGAGAGCGAGCTGAGCAGCCGCGCAGTGGAACGAGTCGGGAGCCGGGCGGCACCGCGACGCGGTTCCGTTGTAGCTCCGGGGCACAATAAAGCGTTATCTTCTGCTGTTAGACCACAAAGCCAGGGGAGAGCGCGAACGCAGTCCCCCACTACCACAAATTATGCAGTCGAGTTTCCCGCATTTGGGGAAATCGCAGGGGTCAGCACACCCGGAGTGCAGGGGATGAGCCTCGCCCTGGGAAAACCACCTGCCTGATCATGGTGTCTCCCCTGCCAGGTAAGTATGCTTTGCTCCTCCAACGCCCCTCTCCCCACGCCCCGCCACCAGCCCGAACCGCACGGCGACGCGCTTCCCAAACTAAGCAGTTGCTCCGTTCCACTCCGCCTCTCCGACACCCCCACATCGCGGCCCACTCAAGTTCTAAAGGGCTTCGCGCGTGTTTCGTTTCTGGTGCAGCACACTCCCGGCATGCCGCGCGCTTTTCTTATTTGCATAGATCCGCCCGTTTCCACTCTACCCCACCCTCACGCACACAGAGTTACTACCTGCGCACCCCTCTGGGCGGAGCGCGATTTGCATAGCCCCCCCCTGCAATCACACCTCCGACCGCGGGCCTTCCTTTCGGTCCCCTCCGCTCCCGCACAGCCTGGCCGAACCGATGCTGGAGGACCGGGCACTGTGAAGCCAATTCGCCAATCCCGCCCCCACGCAGCGCCAGCAGCAGAGCAGACACGCAGGATCACAACCGCGCACTTTATTCAACCCGTTTCCCCGCGGTGTAGTCGCATCCCACACCTCTTCTGCCGATCGCGGTCACGGTCCTGCAGCGTTCCGGCGCTGGGTGCCCCATAGTGTGAGGCTCAGCGCTGCTGTCACCGTCCCCAGCACGCTGCAGAAGAGCGGCACGGGGAAGGCGCCCTGTAAAGTGAGCAGGGTGAGGTCACTGCCCTCTCTGAGCCGTTCCGTGCACCCCCGGCCCCACGCACCCACCTGCCGCAGACACTTGTAGCCGTGGAAGGGGCTGGCACAGAGGCACTGCGAGAGGCCGGGGCCGTCTGGGGCACAGGCAGCATTCTCAGGGCACAGCGGGGCTGCTGGGCAGCACGGGGTCACGGGCTGTCCTGTCTCGTGCCACGCCATGCCCCTGTGCAGGGCCATGGCTGGGGCTGGGAGAGCCCACCAACCTACCGAGCTCCTCAGAGCCGTTGCAGGGGTTCCTCTGGCCCCGGCACAGGCGGCTGCTGCCATACGTCGTCACCTCCTCCCATGCACCACTGCCACCTGGGCACGGTACTGCCAGCGGCACCACGCTGCAAACCAGAGCTCAGCACCGCATACGGCCCCAGGCTCCCCCACCCAACCCCAATACTCACAGTTGCTGCAGCTGCGTGAAGCCCAAGAAGGAGTCAGCAGGGAGCGCCGGCAGCGGGTTCTCCGTCAGGTCCCTACCAACGCATCACACCGACTGCACCCCGGGGCCAGGAGGGACACCTCGGGGTGGGACGGGCAGCCGTGCCCCACCCGCGCACCTCCCCCTTCCCTCAGCACTCACAGCACGACGGCAGCCGCAGCCTCGCTGAAGGCACTGGGGAGGGTCTGCAGGGAACAGTTGCTGAGGTCCAACCTGGGGAGGGCAGCACCGGGAGCCCCGTGTTCCCCCGTTCCGCTCCCATACTCCTCGGCCATACTCACACCCCTGGCCCACACCACACCACCCCCATGCCCTGTACCGTACCCAATACCCATAGCGCACCCCACACCCATTATCCCACCACCCCCCGTCCCTACACCCGTACCCCAGCAGCTGCTGCCGCCCGGATGCCCGCCCCACGCAGCAGCGGCCCCACAGCTCCGTGTCGGCCCTGGAGGCGCAGTACTGTGACACGACGGAGCCGTTGCTCGGCGGCCCCGGACAGCTCCCGCACAGCAGCGTTGGGATTCCCCCGGCCCCGGGCGACGGCAGCAGCAGCAGCAGCAGCAGAAGGGAGGCCGCAGCCCCGCTTCCGGCAGCCCCGCCCCGCCCCGAGGCCGCCCCCGGATGGGCTCCTCCTGGCAGCGGGGCGGGACGCGGCGGGGCGGAACGACCGCGCGGTGAGGCCAATGGCTCAGCCATTAACGGAGCGCACCCGCCAGGACCGCAGTGCTCCGCAGGTGCCGAAGCGCTGCGACCCGACCTCGGCGGCGCCACGTGACGCGTCCCACGCACGGGATTGGACGAAAGGACGCTGACGGCATTGAGGCGCGCGGGGAGCCGGGCTGGAGGTGAGGCGATGCTCGGCGGCGTGACGTCATCAGCGTGCGCCGCGGCGCTTCAGGCGCACGTGGGCTGAGCCGGGCAACCGCCCGGTGAGTGGTGATGGTGGTGGCGGCGCGGAGCGGGGATGTGCGCAGCACGCAGCACGCAGCGCCGGAGCACGGCGCGGGGGGCGTGCGGGGCCATAATGTTCCGGGGAACCGGGAGATCGGGAAACCGGGGCTCGGGCAGGGGATGAGGACCGGGAGGCGGGATAGGGGGCACGGGGGGGATCGCGGGGGATCTTCAGGTTGCGGGCGGCGGGGCAAAGGAGTAAGGAGGGGAGCGGGGTATTGGCCTGGGGTCGTGGGGGCACCGGGACGCGGGGAGCAGTGCCGGCACGTGGGAACACGGGGAGGCAGTGAGGGGCCACGGGAACTCGGCAGTACAGGGAGCGCAGTTATGGCCTGGGGTTCAGAGGGGCACCGGGACACGGGGAACCGTGCGGGGGACATGGGGACACCGGAGGGCAGTGTGGGGACACGGGGATACCGCGGGACGCTGCTGCCGGCACGGGATACGCGTAGGACCCAGAGCCCGGGGGGGCAGAGCACCGTTGGGGAATGCCGGGGCATCGGGCCAGGAATGCGGCGGGGGAGTAGGAGGGGGATTGCCCCTTGTTGTGTCTCAGCGCGTGGCAGGTGACCTTGGACCATGCCCGCTGTGCGGGCGGGGCTGGCAGCGCTGCCCTCTCGCCTCCTTTCAGCACCGCCAACCGCTGCTCCTCGCTCCGGGCACGGCAGCGTGGGGCTAATCCAGCCGCATTCCTGCTGGGATCAGCGCCGCCCGCCCCGTCATCGCGCGGCCCCGTATGGGGGTGCGCCTGCCCAAGTGCGGGAAGAGCGGCGGGTTCGGCCCGCACGGAGCCTGCCCGTCCGGATCCGGCCGTGCCGGTCTTGCCGGCTGCGGAGTTGGGGTCGGCGCTGGGCGGGGCTGCCGAGTTCGCTTTGGCCCGGGGTCGAGCCGCGGGGGAGCGGGGAAGAGAAGGCTGCGGTGACCCCCCCCGGGTGCGTCCCCCCCCCTAGGTCCTTGAGGCGGGCCGAGAGCTTTGGAGCGAAGGTCCCCGCGAGGACGAGCGGGGCCGGATCCACCGTCGCCACCTCCCGCAGCGCCGGGCGCTGCCGGCCAGGTCCCTCCGCCCATGAACCGGAAAAGTGGGGGTGGCGGCGGGGCGGCGGCGGACACTCACCATGGAGTTCTCAACGGCGGACTACAGCATCTTCGTGCTGCTGCTGGTGCTGTCAGCGGCCATCGGGCTGTTCTATGCGCTGAGCGGCGGGCGGCAGCGCACGGTGCAGGAATTCCTGCTGGCCAACCGCAGCATGGGCTTTTTTCCCGTTGCCCTGTCCCTGCTGGCCACTTTCCAATCTGCGGTGGCCATCCTGGGGGTGCCGGCAGAGATCTATCGCTTCGGCACCGAGTACTGGTTCCTGGGCTGCTCCTATTTCCTGGGGCTGCTCATCCCCGCGCACGTCTTCATCCCCGTCTTCTACCGCCTGCAGATCACCAGCACCTACGAGGTGAGCGGCAAGGGGGTTTCCTGCCCCTCGTGCCCCGCATCGGGGTGGGGCTGCATCCCTGACCCCATCCATTTCTTCCTTCCCCCTCCCCCTTCCAGTACTTGGAGCTGCGCTTCAACAAGACCGTGCGCATCTTCGGCACCATCACCTTCATCTTCCAGATGGTAAGGGCTGGGTTTGGGGTCCCGGGGATGGGGTACGTGGGGGGGCTGCAGCTCTCTGTCCCTACAGGTCATCTACATGGGAGTGGTGCTCTACGCTCCCGCTCTGGCACTCAATGCAGGTAAGGGCTCAGTGGGGTGGCTAGGGGAGGGATGGTGTAGTGCCTATCATCCTCATCCCTCCTTAATGGCACCCAGTGACAGGCTTTGACCTTTGGAGCGCGGTGCTCACCATCGGGCTTGTCTGCACGTTGTACACTACACTGGTGAGTGCTGTCACCATGCCACGTGGTGTGCCCAGTTTCTAAAGTGGCAGCGATGACAGCTGTGTCCCTCTGCAGGGAGGGCTGAAAGCCGTCATCTGGACCGACGTGTTCCAGACTCTGGTCATGTTTGCGGGGCAGCTGGCTGTCATCGTGGTGGGCGCACAGCGAGTGGGGGGCATGGCCCGCGTGTGGCATGTGGCCGAGCAGCAGGGCAAGATCTCCAGCATTGAGTGAGCTGCAGGGCTGGGACGGGGACAGCAGCAAAGCTGGGACATGCACATGGGAGGGGGATGGGATGCCGGCACAGCCGTGACTGTACCTAACCCCGCAGCCTGGACCCTGATCCGTACGTGCGGCACACCTTCTGGACGCTGGCTTTCGGGGGGGTCTTCATGATGCTGTCACTGTATGGCGTGAACCAGGCACAGGTGCAGCGCTACCTGAGCTCCCGCAGCGAGAGGCAGGCGGTGCTGTGAGTGGTGTGGGGACGTGCGGGGACCTCCCCCCCCTCTCTGCCCACTTCTGACACTCCTCTGGTGCCCGCAGCTCCTGCTACGCCGTCTTCCCCTGCCAGCAGATCGTTCTGTGCCTCAGCTGCCTCACCGGCCTCGTCATGTTTGTCTATGACCGCGAGCACCCACTGGTCCCCAGTGGCACCCAAATCTCCTCTGACCAGGTGGGTGCAGCACTCCCCCATCCTGCGTCCCCCCTGCCCCCCACCAATGCCACACTTACCCTGTGAACCCCTCAGCTGGTGCTGTACTTTGTGATGGACGTGCTGCGGGACCTGCCGGGGCTGCCTGGCCTCTTTGTCGCCTGTCTCTTCAGTGGCTCGCTCAGGTGGGTGCCATAACGGGGGACTGTGGGCTGAGGGCATGACCGAACCCTCCCGCTCCTCCCTTCCCTCTTCCTCCCCCTAGCACCATCTCCTCTGCCTTCAACTCGCTGGCGACGGTGACGATGGAGGACCTGGTGCGGCCGCACTGCCCTGGGCTATCAGAGTCCCGTGCCACGCTGATCTCCAAGATCCTGGGTGAGCAGGGGGAGTGGAGAGGGGGGGGCAGCAGGGTCCTGGCTGGGCCCTGAAACCCCTCTGTCTGTCTGTCCGTCCATCCATCCATCCATCCATCCACAGCTTTTTGCTACGGGCTCCTGTGCCTGGGAATGGCTTACGTGTCTTCTATGCTGGGCCCTGTGCTGCAGGTAGGGGATGGGGTGCTGAGGACACCCCTGGCCTCTCAGTCCCTGTTTTCCCCCCTCGGCCCCAAAATGGTGCCATCTCCCTGCAGGCGGCCATCAGTATCTTCGGCATGGTGGGGGGGCCGCTGCTGGGGCTCTTCTGCCTGGGGATGTTCTTTCCCTGTGCCAACCCCACAGTGAGTACCCTGGACCCCCTTTTCCCCCCCCCACAGATACCCTGTCAGGTGCCGCCAAGGGGCTGAGTGCCTCTCCCCCCACAGGGTGCGGTGGTGGGACTGCTGGCCGGGCTGGCCATGGCCTTCTGGGTGGGCATCGGCAGCCTGGTGGCCAACATGGGGGGGGCCGCCCCCCTGGCTAACAGCACCGTGCCCCCCCCCATCAACTTGGCCCCACCAGCCACGATCGCTACCACGCTGCTCACCTCCACGACACCCCCCCCTAGGTGAGCAACGTGGGGCTGATGGAGGTGGTCTGTGGGGGGTCTGGCTTGGCCCCCTCCTCACCACCTCCCTTCCCCCCCAGCCCCACAGGCCTGCAGAAGTTTTACAGCCTCTCCTATATGTGGTACAGCGCCCACAACTCCACTACCGTCATCGTGGTGGGGCTCCTGGTCAGCCTGCTCACTGGTGGGTGCAGGATGTGGGGCCGGGTGCTGCTCCCCTCTGCATCCCTCTCACCCCTAAGGCCCCCCCAGGTCCCACACCGCCCTCTGCTGTGGATCCCCGCACCATTTTCCCGGTGCTGCCACAGCTGCTGTGCTGCCTGCCCGCCCGCTACCGGCAGTGGCTGTGCTGCGGGGTGCGCTTCCCCACACAGGTGAGCACCTCGCAGCAGGACGGGGGGCACCGGTGTGGTTGGGGGAGGGCTGTGCACAGCCCCACTGCCCCCCCCCCATCCACCATGTGCCCGCAGGAAGCCCCCCACCCATCACCCACAACCGAGAAGCATGTTCCCAACGGGCTGGGCGCTGCGCCACGGGATGACACCGAGGATCAGGGCTACGGGCCACCCGCCTATGCGCTGCAGGAGACGGCCTTCTGAGCGAGCCCGGCACTCCCGCAGGGCCGGTGCTGCCCGGGGTTGCCGTGGGACCATGATGCGGAGCGATGCCACGCTGTTATCTCACGTTACCCACATCTCAATAAACTGTTCTTGAGAGCATCGGGGTCCTGTGGGGCCGGGAGGGGCGGCGGGGTACCCACGGGGCTGCGGCGTTCCGCGGTACCGCGGGGTGCACGCGGAGACGGGGCAGGGGGCGGGGCATGGCGAGGGGGCGGGGCGATATGCGCGAAATGGGCGTGGCTTATCATAAGGGGGCGGGGCCTGAGGGGGGGCGGGGCGGTGACGCGGCGCGCCGTTCCCGCAATGGCGCCGCGCCCGACCGAACTGTACCGGGCGCCTTTTCCGCTCTACACCGTGCGGTTGCACCCGCATCGCGGCCTCGCCATCACCGCTGGAGGCGGAGGAGCGGCCAAAACCGGGATCGGCAATGGAGTGGTACGGTGCTGCGCGGCTCCGGGGGGTGGGGAGGGTTGCGGGGCTCCCCGGGCGCGGGGCTGAGCGGCGGTGTCCCCGCAGCACTTCCTGCAGCTGGAGCAGATCGGGGGGCGGCTGAGCGCGTCGCTGCTGCACTGCCACGACACCGAGACCCGCGCCACGATGAGCATGGCGCTGAGCGGGGACTTCATCGCGGCGGGGCAGGACCACAGCTGCCACATCCTGCGGCTTTGCGTGCGGGCGGGCGGAGCAGGAGGCGGCGACGGTGAGCGGGGATGCGGGCGACGGGTGCCGGGTGCCGGGTGCGGAGCGCTCAGCCGGCGGCTCTCCGTCCCCTCAGATGCGGCGGAGAAGGGCCCGCGCAGAAGGAAGGGCGCCGGCCCCGCGGAGCGCGGTGAGACGCGGAGCAGCGGCGAAGAGGTGACGGTGGAGAGCCTGCACCGCGTGCGCACCGACTTCAGCCCCGACGCGCTGCAGAAGGCCGTGCGCTTCAGCGCCGACGGCACGCTGCTCGTCACCGGCGGTGCCGACGGATTCCTGCGGCTCTGGGAGGTGGGAGCGGGGCGGGAGGGCCCGGGGTGGGTCACCTATCGGGGACCGGCTGACGGCCGCCGCAGTTCCCCAGCATGAAGAAGGCGCTGGAGTTCAAGGCGCACGATGGGGAGATCGAGGACATCACGCTGGGCCCCGACAATAAGGTGGGTGGGGGGGCGCGGGCTGGGGGCACAAAGCCCACAAGGCCCCGTGAGCCGCAGCCGTCGTGCGCCCCGCAGGTGGTGACGGCGGGACGGGACCTGCAGTGCCGCGTGTGGCAGCGGGACCAGCTGGTGACAGGGCTGCAATGGAACGAGAACCTGCCCGGCATCCCCAGCACCGCGTACCGCTACCAGGCCTGCCGGTGGGTGCGGGACTGGGGGTGGCTCCGGGGCTGTGTCGTAGGACGATGGCGGTGACCGCACGGGGTCGCCCCCTGGCATCACGGTCGCGGCTCATGTCTGCTGCCCCGTGCCAGCTTCGGGGCGGTGGAGGACGACCGCGGGGCGCTGCGGCTCTACACGGTGCAGGTGCCCCACAAGCGGGAGCGTCGCCCGCCGCCCTGCTACCTGACCAAGTGGGACGGGGGTACCTTCCTGCCGCTGCTGACGCGGCCCTGCGGCTCCGAGGTCATCTCCTGCCTCTCCGTCAGGTATGTGAAGAGGTCCCACCCCTTCCACTCCCCCCATCCACTCCCAGCCTCGCTCACTGCCCCCCTCCCTGCAGTGATTCGGGCACATTCCTGGGGCTGGGCACCGTCACTGGCTCTGTCGCTGTGCACATCGCCTTCTCGCTGCAGGTGAGTGCGGCACAGGGAGGGCACAGGGTGGGCACGGAGGGCCACCCCACCTCGTGCGTGTCCCCCTTCAGAGGCTGTACTACGTGAAGGAGGCACATGGCATTGTCGTCACCGACGTGGCCTTCGTGCCTGAGAGCGAGCACGGACGGGAGCTGTTGGCAGGGAATGAGGCTGCGCTGCTCAGTGTGGCCGTGGACAGCCGCTGCAAGCTGCACCTGCTCCCTGCCCGCCGTATGTTGTGGGGCTGTGGGGTCGGGCCACCCCCCAGGACCCCACCCTCACTCGGCCTCCTCTCCCCCCCCAGGGTCGCTGCCCGTCTGGCTGCTGCTGCTGCTGTGTGCAGCGCTCATCGTGGGTAGCATCGTGCTGCTGCAGATTGCCTTCCCTGGCTTCCTCTAGGCACCCTCCCTGCTGCACTGGGGGGGGTAGATGGACCTGGCCCCGGGCACACTGTGGGAGTGGGACTGCCTTGGGATGCAGCACCAACATGGTGAAGGGACACAGCGTGCCAGTGGCTGGCCTGGAGCTGCTCCTTGGCCCTTCCATTAAATCCAGAGTGTGAAGGTATTGTCTGTGCTGGAGCTGTAAGGCTCTGGAGGCCTCCCCGTCTGCATACTTTACCCTCTGTGCCCTAGTGCTGGGGTTGGGGGATGATAGGAATGGGGCTCTAGGGGTAGAAGAGGGGTCAGTAGGGAGAGAAATGGGTTTATTGGGATTTAGAAGGGATTCATGGGGGACATCAGGTGCTGAACCCCTCCGCAGCCCCCCCTTCCTGCAGCCCCCTCAGCTCCTCTCCGTGTTGGAACACAGCAGTGACAAACTGCAGGAAGAGGCGCTCCATGAGGCCTCCGTGCCGTGGCAGCAGCCCCTCCAGGAATCCGATGTGGCCACCGCACGATGTTACCAGCAGTGCCACGTGGGGCAGGTGCCAGGCGGCTGCCACGGGGATGGCTGCAAGGGGACACATGGGTCAGCTGCCGGCCCCGCAACACCACAGGGGTGGGCACGGCCCTTCCCAGCCCCACTCACCGTGCAGGGGGGAAAAGGGGTCGTCGGCAGCATTGAGGCACAGCGTGGGCACACAGATGCGGTGCAGGCTGCTGGCAGGGCTGGCAGCACGGTAATACTCTGTGCAGGAGCCGTAGCCAAAGGCCAGAGCGGTGTAACGCTCATCAAACTCCCGGATGGTGCGTGCCTGGAGGTGAGGGGAGGAGCAGGGGGTGGTGGATGGCACTCAGTGCAGGGGGAGAGGTGGGGGCACCGGGGTGGGTGCTACCTTCAGGATGTGCTCCACGTCCACCGTGTCCCCGATCACCGCGCGGTGCCTGCAGGGACCCCAAGTCAGGGCAGGGTGATGCCCACCTCCCCCCGGCCTGCAGACTGGGGTCACGGTGGTGTGACCCCCCCCACCATCCAGGTGTGCCCCCACCTGCGGATGAGGTGCCGCAACCCGGCAGCCAGGCGGCGGTTGAAGAGCCACGTGTTGAGTGGCTGCTCCAGCGACACTGTTGTCTCCATGGAGTCCCAGCATGCAGAAATGGCCATGGCGGCCACCAGCCCTGCTGCGTGTCCCGCCTGTGCCAGGTAGTTCAGCACCTGCATCCTGCAGGGGAGGGGGCGGGGATGGGGGGGTCTCCTATGCCACCCCCCGACCATCCCCCCTTCTTAGTGCCATACCCTCCCAGTGATACACCGACGGCCAGCAGCGGGGCATGAGGGTACTGGTGGTGGATGTGCATGATGGCCGTCTGCAGGTCCTCGGTGTTGCTGGCACAGAAGGTCCTGGGGGTCTGGGAGAGGCAGAGCTGTTTGAGGCCCCGACGTGCCCAGCTATCGGGCAGGGACCTGGGTAGGGGCCGGGATGGGATCTCACCAGCAGCTCTTCACCGCGGCAGCCACGGTTGTTGAGCACGACGGCCCTACAGGAAGGAGAGCAGCATCAGCAGGGGCGGTGGATTGACCCTCCCCCCGCCCCCAGCACTCACCTGTACCCGGCACCGCATGCCTCTCGCACCAGGTGCAGTATGTAGGCGGCCTGACTGTTCCCTGTCAGCCCCGGCAGCAGCAGCACCGTGGGGCATTCGGCGGCGCTGCAGTCATCGGCCCAATCCAGGATGAGCTGCCCGCCGTCGGGCGTGCGGATGGCCTCACTGCGGGGCGGAGATGCGGACAGGGGAGCGCCGGCCGTGGTACCACCCGTCCCGTCCTCACAAGTCCCACCCCAGGCCCATCGCTACCCACTCTTTTCCATCTTCGATCCCTGTCCCCACCTGTTCTGTCCCATCTTCCGCCCCCGTTCCCACCCGTCCCATCCCCAGTCCCACCCTCAGCCCCGTCCCCCCTACCCCCACCCACCCCAACCCGTCCCGTTCCCCCGACCCCGTCCTGCCTCACCTGCGGTACCCGACGTGAGGTCGGCTTTGCAGCAGCGCTCTGCTCACAGTCTGCAGCCGCCCCCCGCAGCACCACGCGGTGGGACGGAACGGCTCCCGCACGGCCGGGCAGTGCCGCCGCAGGAAGGAACGAAGCCCCGGACCGCCGGCAAGCAGAGGCGGCTGCGGGGAACGGCGCGGGGATCGCGCCCAGAGGCAGCCGAGCAGCGCGGCAGCCGCCGCCAGCAGCAACAGCGGCGGCGGCAGCGGGAGCAGCACGGCGCTCCCCGGCCCCTCCGCGCCCATCGCTGCCGGGATCGCCCGGCCCCGCCCCCTGCGTGGCCCCGCCCACAACCGGGCGGGCGTGGCTCCGGCGGCCATCTTTGTGCCGGGCAGAGCGGCGGACGCCGGTTAACCCCTGCGCTGCCGGCAGAAGTGAAGTCTCCGGGCGCGGCGAGGCGGGGCCGGCGACGTGGCCCGGGGCGGGGCGGGAGGGGGACACCGCCGTGTTTGCGTGCCCCGGGTAGTCCGTGTGCGGGTGGCAGTGTCGCCGTGGCCCGGAATACCTCCTCGAGTGTGCGTGCGTGGCGGCTCCACGCGTGGGTCCGCTCCGGCATCGGGATGAGAGCCCCGCGGGCGTCCCTGCCGCCGCCGCCGCCGCTGCTGCTGCTGCTGCTGCTCGGCCCCGCCGCCCGGGCGGCTCCCAGGGACGGGGTGCTGCGGTACGGGATGTGGGCGAGGAGAGTGGTGGGGCTGTGCCGGTGAAGGGTGTTGTGGTGCGGGATGACAAGGTGCGGGGATCACACAGGTGCGGAATTGCACAACGGCACGGTTTCACGCGGGGGTTACACAATTGCGGGGTTGCACACCAGGTGCTGAGGGTCGGAGCCGCGGTGCGGGGGCAGCACAGGGGCTGCGAGCCAGGTGGTGGTAAGAGGTGCCGCGGTAACCTCCCCCCCCCCATATTCCCCGTCCAGACCTGAGCCCCTCGCGGCCGTGGGGACGGATCCCGGCCCCGACCCGCTGAGCCCAGATCTCCCCGCTCTGCAGTGAGTGCCCGACCATGGGGCCAGAGGGTTCGGAGGAGGGGGTGGGAGGATGGCCGGGGCACTCGGGGACCCCGTGATTGGTTGCAGGGCAGTGGAGATACGGGGTTGGGTGGCTGCGGGACCGGAGAACCGGGTCTGGCCGTGGGACGGGAAAGTGCGTGCTCCCCTCCCAGGCCCTGCTGTTCCCAGGTTGCTGCGTAGCGCTGTGCGGAGTTTGGGACCGCCGCAGCGAGACGCGGACGAGATGACAAGGGAGCAGGGTAAGGCCGTGCGGCAGGAGCGGGGAGAGGCGGGCGACCGTTTCTTGGTGGGCCGAGTATCAGCCCCTCGCCTTGTGCCCGCAGCTCTGCTCTTCCTCTTCGCGATGCACGACCACGACCGGAGCGGGCAGCTGGACGGACTGGAGCTGCTGCAGCTGCTGGGGGCGGTGCTGACCCAGGGGGGCGCGGGGCGGCCCAGCTCCGAGGCGGTGCGTGCGGGGGTTCGCGCCCCGCGGGGTCCCTGCTCTGACCTCTGCTCTCACTGCGTACCCATCCATTCCCGTCCGCGCAGGTGGCCGCGCTGGTGGACCGAGCTCTGGAGCAGCGGGACCGCAGCGGAGACGGACTGCTGGACCCCCCCGAGTTGCTGCTGCCCGCCCCGGCACGTGGACCCCCGCGAGGAGGCGACGCTGCACTCGAAGGGAGGGCAGAGGGGCACGCTGGGGAGCAGGAGGGGATCCCCGCGGTGGGGGAGGAGACACTGGGGGAGAACGTGGGGGCGAGCAGCCCCCAAGAGGGACAGGTTCTGCAGGGGGATGGCGACGTCCAGGCAGAGGAGCAGGGAATCCCCGAGATCGGAGCCCCCTTGGAAGAGGACAAGACGGCGGAATCGGAGACGGCCATCGAGGACAGAGAGCCCCGGGTCGAGCCCTCCGAGGCGCCGGCATCCCCTGCCTTGGGGGATCCCAGGGAGATGTAGGCGCGAGAAGGGGCTGCGGGCGGTTCCCCGCCTCACGGCTGTGGGGGCTGTCGGAGCTGTCGGAGCTGAGGGTCTCCCCACGCGCTTCCCCCGTCGCAGTGGGCTCGGTGGCGAGGGGAGGGGGGAGTCAGGACACGCGGGTTCGCGCTGTAACGCGGGGCCGAGGAATACAGCCGCTGCCGCCCACAGTGTGAACAGAGCAGGGGGGGCACGCGGGGGCTGCGGCAGGAGGCGGTGGCGGGGGTCCGCGAGCTTTATTGGGCGCGGGGCGGGGGGCACCGCGCGGCTCAGACGATGCCGTCGTAGCCGTGGATCCCGCACTTCTTCCCCGCGATGCGGCAGCCGAAGGTGAGAGCGTCCCGCAGGTTCTGCCCTGAGGGGAGAGTGACGGACACGGGGGGGCCGTGAGGCGCCGCGGGGAGGTGCGAGGCCGAGCCGTGCGGAACCGCTGAGGCCGCGCGCACCTCCTGACAGCGCGAAGATGACGGCGGCGTTGAAGGTGTCTCCGGCCCCCAACGTGTCCACCAGCCGCTCCGGTGGGAACGCGTCGACGTGCACCAGGGTCCCATCCGGCTCCAGAGCGTCTGCGCCCTCCTCGGCCCACGCGCAGATCATGATCGCGCTGCGGTGCTACAGCTGGGGCGGGGGCAGGCGGAACCGCACCCGCAACCGCGGCTCGCCCTTCCCACCCAACCCCACGCCGTCGCCGTCCCGTCCCCGCGCCTTACCCTGGCCGCACGCGGCCCCGCAGCCCCCGCAGCGCCTCTGCCGCCGTGTTGTAGCCGAAGTGCTTGGCCAGGTCCTTGCTGATGAACACCTGCGGGGGGCGACGGGCCGGCGTTCCTCTGCGCCCCCCGGGACCCGCTCGACTCTCCCAGGCCCCTTTTCGAGCCACACCCCCGCGTGGCCACGCCCCCTCCCACCTGGCCCCGCCCCCTCCCCAATCGGACCAATCGCCGACGGGGCGTGGCGAAGTGGGCGTGTCCGGGCCGTACCACGTCGCCGTGCGCCAGGAGCGGCAGGAGTTCGTCCCGCGGCTTCTCCACCTCCACAGACGTGCGGATGCGCTGCGCGGGCGGCAGCGCGCTGTTGTGTCGCTCCACGCGGAGAATCATCCGCTCCTGCTCCGCCGCGTTGCGGGCCTGAAGGAATAGCGGGCGCGGTCACGGCGAGCCACGCCCCTTTCCGAGCCCTCCCCGCGCCGCCCCGCACCTCCCAGTGGATCCACTTGTACTGAGCCAGGTCGACCCGCGCGAAGTCGCGCTCGGTGACGTCGGGCAGGTTCCTGCGGGCGAAGGGCAGCCCGAAGCCTCGCCTCTGCCCCGGGCACCGGGCGAGGTGCCCCGGGCGGCCGGGGAATGATTAACGGAGGCCGCCCTCCGGCCGTCCCGAAGCCCTGCGGGAACTCCGCCGATCACGGCGGGGACCGGGATCCCGGGGGGAACACCCACGTGTCGTGCAGCACGATGGTCCGCGAGCCGCTGGCGGCGCTGACCACGCAGCAGGCGCAGGGCACGTCCCCTTGGGGCTGCCAGGCAACGTGCGTCACATCCACGCCGCGGCGCCGAAAATCCGCCACGATGAAGCTGGGGGCACATACGGGGTCGGGGGGCGACGGGAGCAGCGGGGCTGCGGGCGCCCGGCACCGCGTCCCTCCGCTCCCCCACCCGCCCCGCCGTCCCCACTCACTCTGCCGCGTGCCCGGGTGCCAGGGAGCCCATGAAGGCGCAGGGAGCGCCCAGCAGCGCCAGCACCGTGCACGAGTTGGAGGCGTTCCCCCCGCGCTGCCACCGCTGAGTCAGGCACCTGCGGGGCGCGGGGTCAGCGTGCGGGACGCCGAGCGGGACGCTCTGCGAGGCGCCGCGCGGGGCGGTACCTCGTGTCGGTGTCCTCGGCCGGGTACGCGTCCACCACGCTGATCACGTCGAGGCACACCAGCCCCACGCACAGGATCCGCTTCTCGCCTCCCGCCCCCGCCGCCATGCCGCGATCCGCGCAGCGCTCCGCTCCGCTCCGCTCTGCCCCGGTGGATGGGGGGATGGGGGGTGGCACCCCGTAGGCTCCGCCCCGGTGGCCTCACGCAGCCCCGACACCTCGCACCGCCGCCGCTCGCCCGCGGCTTCCACCCGCACGGCCCCGCCGGCAGCGCGGTGCTCGCGGGATGGGTGCGCGGTGCGTGCAGGACGGGTGCGGGTCGCCGCAGGGTGGGTGCGCGGTAGGTGCGGGAGGGATGCGCAGGGCTCCGGGCGGGCTCGGTGCGCGGTGTCTGCAGGCACGGGTCAGCACGTGCCCGAGGAGAGGCGGGGCGGGTTAATGTGTCACCGCGCGGGGTGCGGGGCGGTGCGGCGTCCCGCGGGTGGGAGGAGTCGGCGCTCAACGAGGGGTCTGATGTGGGTAGGGGCCCTGCGGGCGGGAGGGCGCCGCGGGGCTGTGTCCGCAGCCGGGTCCAGGCGGGGTTGGAGTTGTGATGCCGGTGGCCGAGAAGGTGGGGTGAGCACCGCGTCCCCTCCCATCTCATCTTGTCCCATCCGGCGACCTTTGCTCGGGCACAGAGCGCCCTCAGAGCCCTCCCCCTGCCGCGGAGCTGTTCAGAGACCGCCTGTGCCAGGTGGCCCCGTGCCCAGAGCTAACGTTCCCCGTGCCTCGGGGCCGTTCCGCAGCCGCTAACTCGGGGGTTGTCTCCGGTTGACCACGCCGTCCCACTTTCGCAGGGATACGCGATGAAGCGGTGGCTGCGGGATCGGAGGCTGCAGGAGCGGCGCGCCTTCCTGCAACGCGCGATGCGGGGACCGGCCGACAGCGGGGACCTCCGGGACGCCGAGCCGCCCGCCGGCTCCCCGAACCTCCACGGCCCCGTCATCGTGCCTGAGCCCCTCTCGGGCGACGCCGCCAAGCCCCCCCCCGACCCCCGGAACTCACTCGCAGAGGTACCCGGCGGAAAGAGGGGGGACGGGGGGGAAGCCGAGGTTGGGGACTGCCCCACCGACGTCCCCGTGCCCGCAGGGACCTGGCCCTTACGGCGGAGGCCGTGCGGCGCAGCGACTTCCTGCGACGTTTGGGAGGGGGCCGCCCCGAGGCTCTGGCGTGGAGCTTCGTGACTGTGAGACGCGAGGACGGCGACGCGGTGGTGGCCGAGGGCGGCGAAGGGACGGCCATGAACATCGTGGCAGGTGAGGGAGGGCTGCGAGAGCCGGGTCGCGTCGCTGTGTGCGCGCCCAACGTGCGAGGCCGCCGCCCGCTCGCCCCGCAGCCCCGCAGCCCCGGGCGCGCGTGTGCGTGTGCGTGGCTGCCGCGGTGCACGAGGCCGCCCGCACCCCGCAGAGGGACGCCTGAGGTGACCCAGCGGGGCCGGCAGCTCCGCACGTTGAGGCCCGGGGACGTTTTTGGCGAGTTGGCAATCCTGTATCACTGCTCTCGCACCGCCACCGTGCGGGATAAGTGAGCTCCTGCCCGCGTGCCCCCAGCGTCCGGCCTCTCTCCCCCCGGCACCCCGCTTACTTCGTTTTGCCCCAGCGCTCGGCCCCGTGCGCCTCTGGGCCATTGACAGGCAGCGGTTCCGTGCCATCACAACCGGCAACGCCCGGCAGCGGCGGGCCGATGTGCTGCGGGTCCTGAGAGTGTGAGTACGGCGTCTGCCGGTGGGGAGGGACATCGAGTGCGGGAGGGGTGCGGGAGGGGTCCAGGGGAGATGTAGGAGAGACGAATGCAGGGGGATGCGGGAGGGATGCAATGGGAATGCAGGGGGGATGCAGGAGGATGCAGGAGGGATGCAGGAGGGATGCTGGGGGATGCAGGGGAAATGCAGGAGGGATACAGGGGGTTGCAGGAGGGATGCAGGGGGGTGCAGGAGGATGTGGGAGGGATGCAGGAGGGATGCAATGCGGATGCAGAGGAGATGCAGGAGGGATACAGGGAGAATGCAGGAGGGATGCAGGGGGATGCAGGGAGGATGCAGGAGAGATGCAGGAGAGATGCAGGAGGGATGCAGGGGGGATGCAGGCAGATGCAGGAGGGATTCAATGGGGGTGCAGAAAGGATGCAGGAGGGATGCGGGGGGTGGTGTAGGGGGGCTGTAGGGGGAATGCAGGAGGGATGCAGGGGGGATTCAGGTGTGCTGCAGCATGCACAGGAGCTGTGCCCTCCCACAGGGTGCACTGGCTGCAGGAACTGTCGGACAGCCACCTCTCCAAGCCGCTTGATGCCATGGAGGAGGTACAAATGCAGGTGGGGGCTATGGGACAGGGCCCCCCACACAGCACAACCCTGAGCTTCTGTGTGCCCGTAGTGCTCCTTCACACCCGGCCACCTCATCATCCGCGAGGGCGACGAGGGGCAGAGCTTCTACATTATCCTGAAGGGCGAGGAGGTGCTGTGCTGTGGGGCAGTGCCATGGGACAGCGCTGGGTCTCTCTCACCCCGCTCAGCCCCACATCCCCACAGGTGCAGGTCAGCCGGCATGAGGATGGGCAGAAGAAGCTGCTGCGGGTGCTGGGTGCAGGTGAGCAGTGAGAGCAGAGGAGCTCTCACTGCTGCAGTAGGTGCCCTGCAGGGCCACAGGACAGCACATCATGAATGCATGCAGCTCTCGTGCACACGCATGCACTGGCTCTCACGTGCACAGAGCTCTTGCACATCCGCTCACATCCCCGTGTCCTTATGTCCCCATGTCCCCATATCCCCATGTCCCCATGTCCTCAGATTGCCGTGTCCCCGTGTCCCCATGTCCCCACGTCTCCGTGTCCCTGCGTGGCACTGATCCTTGCTCTACCCTGCAGAGACTTCCTGCAAATCATCCCCTTCTGCCCCCACCACGACTCAGATGTGCGAGTGTCCTTGTGGGGACGCTCTGGCCCCAAGGTCCCCATGTGCATCGTTGCCTGGGTGGGTGCTGGGCACAGTGACGTGGCACCAGCAGCGGGTCCTGGACTCTGCCCTGGGAACACAGCACGGCCCCGGTGCGTGCTCAGCACAGCCTGTGTGCTGCCCTGTCTGATGGGTCCAGAACTCCAGATCCCAGAACCCACCCCGTGCCCAGAGCCATGCTGTGTGGCTCTAAGGGTTGGAGGGGGGGTTTGAGCTGGGGCTGCTTCCATTTGCAGAAATGTGTCTGTAACAGAGGTGCCAACCCTGACGGAACCCAGGTGGTCAGTGTGGGATGGATGGGATGGGGGTGGGATGGGTTGGAGGCAGGAATAGGGATGGGATGGTAATGGGGACAGGGATGGGGAAAGGATGGGATGGAAATGGGGATGGGGATGGGATGGGAAAGGGAAAGGGAAAGGGAAAGGGAAAGGGAAAGGGAAAGGGAAAGGAAAAGGGAAAGGGAATGGGAATGGGAATGGGAATGGGGATGGGATGGGATGGGATGGGATGGGGATGGGATAGGATGGGATGGGGATGGGATGGGTGGGGATGGGGATGGGGATGGGGATGGGGAGGAGAGTGGGATGGGAATAAGAATGGGGATGGGGACAGGAATGGGGATGGGATGAACTGAGAATGGAAATGGGATGGGGATGAGAATATGAATGGCATGGTAATGAGATGGGGATGGAAATAGAGACAAGGACAGAAATGAGAATGGAATGGGATGAGGTAGTGATGGCGATGGGGACAGGCACTCTGGGTGCAGGCACTGCAGGGCAGTGTATTCCCCACAGGAGCTGGGGGTCCCCCCACTTGCCGCAGCCCTGCCCAGCAGTGCAGCTGGAGGAGCTGGCAGCCATGCACTACGAGGAAGGGCAGAAGCAGGGGCAGCTCGTCATGCTGGGCACCGGTGGCTTCAGCAGGGTGGAGCTGGTGAGAGCCATGCCCATCCTGCGGGGTCCCCACGGTGCCATCCCTGTCCCCATTCTGATGCCCTCCGCCAGGTGCGGTGCCACAAGCAGCTCTTTGCACTGAAGCGGATCCGCACATGCACACGGGGAGGAGGGTGCTGGCCGCAGCCACTGCCCCTTCATTGCAGGGTGAGTGCTGGACCGGGGGCTGCGTGGTGCCGGGGGGAGCTCTGTGGGGCTGGGGGGGCTGTGCGGGGCACTGAGCTGCTCCCATTCGCAGGTTCTTTGGCTCCTTCCATGATGCGCAGCACATCTACCTGCTGCTGGAGTTCTGCCAGGGAGAAGAGCTGCGGACCAAACTGCGTGAGGTGTATGGGGCTGGGACACGGGGTGGGCAGCCATGTGCTGCAGTGCCAGGCAATGCTGTGCCACGCTGTGTGAACGCTGGTCCCGCTCTGCTGCAGGCGCTGCTTTGAGGAACCCCTGGCTGTATTCTGCACTGCTTGTGTGGTGGAGGGCCTGGAGTACCTGCATGGCCACGGCATCATCTACTAGGACCTGAAGCCTGAGAACCTGATGTTGGACCAGCTGGGTTATGTCAAGCTGGTACCAAGGCTTGGGGGCAGCACTGAGGGCCCGTCCTGACACTTGTGTGAGGATGTGGGCTTGGGGGGGCTGAGGGCTGCTGTGCCGCAGGTGGACTTTGGCTTTGCCAAGGAGCTGGAGCATGGGGAGAAGACATTCTCCTTTTGTGGGACACCTGAGTACCTGGCGCCCGAGATGCTGTGCCATGAGGGCCACGACTTTGCTGTTGATTTCTGGATGCTGGGCATCCTGGTGTTTGAGATGCTGGTGGGCAGGTGAGCGTGTGCCTCGGGGCTGAGCCTGACCCACCCCCCTGGCCAGCTGTGCCAGCACTGACCCCCAGAAAGTCTACAGATGCATCCTGGATGGCATCTTCTCCTTCCCTGCCTTCCTCAGAGAGGCTGCCTGCTCTCTCATTGCCAAACTCTGCAGGTCTGGCTCCATCCCCATCCCCATTCCCCCCTGCCCCCCCCCCAGTCCCATCCCATCCCATCACAGGAGGCACCCAGGGCAGCACCTGGGGAACACAGCCAGTGATATCCGTGGCATTAAGAAGCACAGGTGAAGGGACACAGAGGTAAAGGGAGGCATCTCATGCCACCCTCTCCGTGGCCCTTCCTGCAGCCCCCCCTTTCCCCAGGTGGTTCAGCGCCATCCGGTGGAAGCGACTTGCACTGCAGCAGATGGAGGCACCCGCTATACAGCTACTGAAGGAGGTGGGGATGGAGTGTGGGGTGGGGGACGCTGGGGGGGCCGGGAGCTTGGCACTGAACCCACCATCCAGGGCCCCCCTATGCCAACTTCAAGCAGTTCTCGGTTGATTCGACATCAGTGGAGGATGAGCTTTTGGGATGGGATGAGCAGTTCTGATGGTAACAGGATCGTGGTGGGACCCGCTCTGGAGGGGCAATAAAGCGACGGGGCAAGGAGGAGGCAGGAGACGAGGGTACAAAACCCGGTGTCGCATCTTTATTGGGCGGGATGGGGGTGGGGGGTGGGGAGGGAGGGAGGCGCAGGGCAGGTGGCAGCGTGGGCACGGGGACGGGGGGTGCCGATAAATAACGGGGTGTGGGGGGGTCTGCGTGGCGGGGGTCCTTACAGGGTGTCGTAGAGCAGCGCAGCGCTGAACACGGTGAGGGGTTCGTCGGGCGCGTGGGCCAACCGCCCCGCCACCAGATCGACGCACAGCGTCTCGCCTGCCTCCAGCGGCACGATGAGGCTGAAGACCCCCAGCGAGCCAGGGCTGGGCTGCAGCTCGGCTATGGGCTGGTTCTCCAGGCCCTCGGGCTGGAAGCCCCCCGAGTCCAGGCGCGCGATGCCCTGGTTGGAACGCGACAGCACCGCCTCCAGCTTCTCACCCTTGTGCCCCGTCAGCACCGCGCTCACCAGGTAGCGCCCGCTCACCGGCGCCGTGAAGGTCCCTGGGGAAGATGGCAGTGAATGGCGGTCCCCACGGTGCCACAGGGACGAGATCAGCCCCGTGGCCTTAATACGCTCCTAACCTCCCCCTCACAAGCCCATCCTCCCCCCTCCTCACTCACCCGTCTCGGGGTCGTAGGCTCCGCCGTCGTTGAGCAGCACCCTGTCGAAGGGCACGGTGCCCGGCTCCGTGCGCTGCGTGCTCAGGGCGGCCGAGAAGGCGATGTGGGGCACAGAGCCCGGCTCCCCCACCGGGCCTGGGCACTGTGTCAGCACGGGGCCCTCAGTGCTTTCCATCCCCCATCCCCCCCCACCCTGTACCCCCCTACCTCTCTCTCCTGGCAGACCTGTAAGAGAAGGGATAGAATGGCACTGTGGGCACAGCCACACCAGCACCGGGCTGCGAGGCCATGGGGGCTGCTACCTACCTGGGGCGCCCACGGGGCCCTGCTCTCCATCCTTGCCAGGGGGCCCGGAGGGGCCAGAAGGGCCCATCTCCCCTGGGGGGCCCATGGGGCCGGGGGGCCCCGGGGGACCTGGAGAAAATGGAGAGTGTTAGGGACCTTCATTCCCATTAAGTGTCCCCACACACCACACCCTTTGTCCCCACTGCTCGTGTCCCACACACCCAAGCTCACAGGCCTCAGCTACTCATCCCCGTGCTCTCACATGCCTCTACTCCCGATGCCCCATAGCCATGTCCCCATCCCTCAGCCCCACGGCCACGAGCTCTGCAACCGTTTCCACATTCCGTCCTCAAAATCATACACCCCCCACTCGCGACACGGCCCCACTTTCCCTAAACCCGCCTCCTTCACCTCCTTTTCCCCATCCCGGGGCCCACCTCTTCCCTCCTTACATCCCCATTCCCCCATCCCCGCATCCCTTTTCCTCCCCCCCCTCATCCACGCCCTCTCTCCCACCCTTCCCGCAGCCCCTCCCCCCGCAACCCCCGCACCCACCGGCCGTCTGCTGCCTCCCTCCGCCGAACACCTCGCTGCGCAGCTGCTGCACGCTGCCGTCGAGAGCCGCGAACCGACGCGAGAGCTGCGCCTGCAGCTTCTCCAGCAGCGCCTCGTGGGTGCGGCCGGTGCCGTTCAGCTCCCTCACCGCCCCCCACAGCCCCGCCACGTGCCGGCTCAGCCCCTCCCGCACGGCCCGCAGCCCCCCGGCCACCGCCTCCAACTGCTCGCAGACTCCCTCCAGTTTGGCCACGCGCGGTTCCAGCGCCTCCCCGCACTCCACCGCGCTCTCCCCGCGTTCCTCGCTCCACGTCGCGCGTTCGGCCGCTTCTGCCACGAGGCGGTCCAGCTCGGCGGTGAGGCTCTGCCGGGCGGCGCTCAGGTCCCGCAGCCTCGCGTCGTGCTCCTCGGCGGTGTCCTGCAGGCCCCGCACGGTGCCGTTCAGCGCCCCGAAAGCCAGCAGCGCGTCCGCCAACTCCGCCCGCAGCTCCCGCAGCTCCCAAGGCGCGGCGCCGCCTCCGAACACGCTGAAGCCTTCCAGCGGCTCCTCCTCGTCGCCGAGGTCGGCGGGCTCCCGCAGCCGCGCTTCGTGCTCCCGCAGCCGCCCCTCCAGGCCTTCCAGCGCGCGGCTCAGGTTGGCGACGCGGCCCCGGAGCGACGGATCCCCTTCGGGCGGCCCGGCGGCGCGGGACGCGTTCAGCCGCCCCTCCAGCTCCGTCAGCCGCCGCGCCAGCGCCGGGCCCGGTCCCTGCCCCGCTCCTCGTGCCGTCTCCAGCGCTCCCACGCGGCGCTCCAGCTCGGCCGTGCGCCGGAGCAGCTCGTCGAGGGGCGCGGGTGGAGCCAGGCGGGCGCTCAGGGCGCTGACGTGCTGCTGCACCGTCTCCACAGCGTCGCGGTTGCGCTGGTCCACTGAGCCCACCAACTTCTCCAGCGCCCGCATGCGCTCGCGGTCCTCCGCCTGCTGCCTTCGCAGCCCCTCGGTGCCGGCCGCACACGCCGCGCACATCTCCCGCAGCCGCTCCTCCTCCTCCGGCGACGTGACCCCCCCCGGGACCCCCTCTCCGCCGGCGCCGTCCCGCGCCGCCTCCAGGCGCTGCAGCCGCTGCTGGATGTGGACGAGAGCTTCCCGAACGTCGGGGGGAGCGGCGTCGGCCGGGGGGGTCCCGCCGTCGGCCCCGCGGCGCGCGTCCCGCAGCTGCTTCTGCTGCTCCTCCAGCTGCCGGCTCAGCCGCTGCACCGCGTCCTCCAGCCGCCGCACCTTCTCTGCCTCGTCCGGGCTCCGCGGGGCCGCCGCACCCCCACGCCCCCCGCCTCCCCCGCCGCCCTCGCCCCCCAGCCCGCTCAGCGCGCTGCCGAAACCGGAGAGCGTGGGGCGGCCGGGCCGGGGCCGGGGGTGAGCGGTGGGTTGAGGGGAGCCCGGCTGCGGCCCCTCGGAGCAGTCCTCCCCCGAGTAGCCCTGGCAGCACCTCCACTCCAGGTCCGACACCGTCTTCTGGGCCACTTTGTAACGGGGCCGCAGGAAGCTGCGGTACCTGCGGGCAGAGCGGTGAGGGGTCCTGCGGCCGCTCGTACCATCCCACCCCAGCGCCGGTCTGCGGCTCCGGGCTGGGAGGAACGAGATGCTACGCGTGGCTACGGGACTGTCGCGCAGCCGGACGCGTTGCCGCCACCCATCGCCTCCCCCTGTGCGGTCTGGAACCCCCCCTCACATTCCACGGCTGCCCCATTAGCACGGGCGGTGCTCCCCGAGCCCCCGCATCGGTGCGGTCCGGGAAGAGCCGGGTCGGGGCAGGTCAGGCGCCGCTGCGACCGCATTCTTGCGAAAAAGTAAACAGCGCTCCCAGAGCGGATAAACACGGCGGCCGGCCCCGAGCCCCCCTCCTTCCCTCCCAGGCCCGCGGCACTCACGCCAGGACGCGGGGACACTGCAGCTGCCCCCAGGCGCACGGCTGGAAGTCGGCCTTAACGAAGCTCTCCACGCCGTCCTCCACCACGCAGCTCACCGTGCGCGTCACCACGAAGGCACACCAGTTCCTGCGGGGAGGCGGTCGGCAGCGTAACGGCACCCTCGGGCTCTGTACCCCCCCCGCCGCCTCCCCTTACCCTCCCCCCTCCCCGGTAGCACCGTCACGGCCCGGTGCTGCGGGTTAATGGGCCGCATCCCGTCCCACCGACGCCCTCTCCCGCCGGTGCCCGCTCCGCAGACCCGGGAGCGCACCGCAGCCGCGCTCGCGGCCTCGCGCGGGGATTGGGATGGGGAGGCAGAGAAGCCCGACCCCGAGGTGCCCCCAGGTGAAGCCGCGGCGCTGCGGGGACCCCGCTGACGGAACACACAGCCGCGCGGTGCGGGCATCCGCCGGTGCCATCCCGCATCGGGGTTCTGCCGCCCCGCGGCCGACTCTCAGGGGCTCATCTCACCCCGGAGCCCGTAAGCGAGGGGCACAGCCCCCGCCCCATCCGCCCCCGACGGCACACAGCCGGGATGAGACCCGCGCCCCCGCCCCATCCCACTCGAGCGGTGAGGAGGGGCTCTGCCCCCCACCCCCTCCCCGCCCAGGCTCCGGGCAGGGCCCCCCGCCCGTCCCCCGCCGCAAGACCCCGGCCCGGCCCCGCGCTGCGCACAGCCATATATGGTCCGAGCCCTGAGCGGCCCCCCCGCCCCCCCCGGGCCGCCCCACAGCCCCGCGGCCGTTCCCGGCAGTCCGGCTGGTTCCCCTCAGCCCGCGGCCGGATTCCAGCTCCTCCCCGGGGGCCGCCGGGAATTCCTGCGCCGAGGGCCCCCCCCGCTTCCCCCGCACCTCCCCCCCATCCCGGGCCGACGCCGCCCGCAGGGCTGTGCCCGCACCCCGGAGCGGTGGGGACGGGCGCAGTACCCGCACCGCGAGGATGGCGCTCCGCGTCACGCAACCGCGGGCACGGGTCGCGGTGTACCCCCGGGTCCCCTGGCCGCGGCCTCACGGCCGCAGGTGAATGCCACCCGGAGCGGTGCGGGGCCGGGGAGGCAGAGCCCGCGTTCCCCTTCCCCGGCTCGGCCCTGCGGCGATATCCCACGCGGAACGGGGTCCCGCGTGCCCCGCTCATCCGAGGGGCCGGCGCCGGACCGCGCTGCAGTCCCCACACCCACTCCCGCACGGCTCCGCTGCTGCGGTGCTGATGTGGCTGCGGTGAGCGGAGGACCGCAGCTCCGCACCACCGGACCCCGCAGCAGCCCCACCGCCCGCATGGGGATCCTGCGGTGCGGCGCGAGGATGGAACCTCCCGGCGTCCCGCATCCGGCGGTGGGCCAACCCCGCCGCGCTCCCGCACACCGCTCCCCTCAGCCCGCAGCCCCCGCCCCGCGCCCTCCACGTGCTCCTCCGCTGCGGGAGGACCGCGCCGAGCCCCGCACCGCCCCGCAGCCGTCGGAGCGGCGCGGCGCGGGACGGGTCCTACCTGTGCCTGCTGGCGGCCCGCGCGGGGCTGTGCGGGGCAGCCCCGCCGGTGTAGAGGCTGTAGCGCGGGGGGAAGTTGGCGGCCAGGGCCTGGGCGGCCACGAGCCACGGCCACAGCCACGGGGCC